GGACTGCTAAGTGATACTGCAACATCACGATATTTCTTTTCCTCCGTCTGCCCGACAGCCCAAGCCATATCCGGCAACGTCGACGATCCGAAGACTCTGAACTTTCCAGTTCTTTTTTTCAAGCAACCGCCTGTTTTTCTTCCAATTCACTGGTCTCGAATTTTACTGTTGTTACATTTTTGTTAACTTCTGGACTGCACACTTGGGCCCCTATTGACTTTACGTTCGACGTAATAGGTTGCGTAGTAGCATTCTTGGGTTAAACTGTTGCCGACGCCGTCGTTGTTATTATCCTTAGTCTCCTAATCGGTCTTGTTTTCCTCTGTCTGCTGTTGCGTTTGGGCTAGTTTTGGCACTTTGCCCACGAACTCTGAAAAGCTGGGACATCCAGTAGCTCTTGCAGACTCTAGTCCAGTGCGCTGTTCGCATTGCTTTAGTTTTTCTGATGTTTGCCCCTCGTTCATCGTGTGCGCTCACTTTTTATCTTTCACATCGCATGTTCACACTTTTGCACTTGGTCTTATTATAGTCAATCATCTTGCTTCGCCCGGCGGGGTTCGACCCGATGGCGATTACAGCGTTTATCAATGATTCTCGCCTTTCCCACGTAGTCTGCCATCATTCCTTCTGGCGCGGTTCATAACCCCGAATCCGTCACCTAGAAGCCAACCAATGTTTTGGATGTTCCATCCGAGCATCATAGAGAAATCGACAGAATAACAGGGCTGGCACCACTGAGAAGTCTGTGTAGCCTTAGCCTCTTCGTCAAATTCCTCCGTCGACTGCCGTTCTGTATCGGTGACTGCTTGTGTAGATGCTTGTATAGATGGAACCTTTTGCTTCCTGGCTAGTCTCCCAACATATACGCTGCGTTCTGTACACAGGTGAAAATCCTGCTTAAAGGAAGACAGTTAAGGCTTGCCACCTGTAGGCATGATGTGTACAATGGTTCCTAGCTTTCGCTGTTCTTGTTTGACGGACAACCCTTAGAGGGCGATTAGGGAGAGTTGATCAGAGGTTGTGAGAAAAGGGGAAAAAGGCATTAGCTCTGCAGACAAACTCAGGCTATACCGCGGGCTCAAATTACAGGCCATGCTATCGAAAGGAAAAATAAAGGCCTTCCCGACTTAGCAGGTTTATGGCTAACATTTGCTTACTTGCCTGTCGACAGGCCCGTTGACCTTTACCCGATATCTCGTAATCTCAAACGCAGGCCAAGCCGGTGACTACTGTTACTTGGTCTGAGGGACATAGGAATAAAGAAAACTGACTGATTCTCATCCTGTGATTCTTCCCATATTTTTGCGATGAGCACTAGTTTAGAGCCTTTGAGCCGCGATGAGTTTTCATCTGTGTTATCTCTTATTGGCAATCATCGTAGTTACTGAGCAGCGGGATGCTTATCCAAAAAGTCGAATAGAATCTAAGAAACGAAGCAAGTTAAAATAAAGCAAGAGATTCGCTGGATCACCGGATAAAACGAAGGCAACAAGGACGAACACAGAGCTCGATGCGTTGGTCGGTTGTTTGTCGGAGCTGGTTCGCCCAGTGATAATGTGAGGAAATAAAGGGGGTATGATTAAGCCGTGGCGAATAGCCATCCTCATCGATTCATCTGTTCTGCGCAGAAATTGAGAAATACAGCCTAAAGCAGCTGCTGCCAAAGAGAAGCTACTTCAAGGTGCCCTTTATGTAGCCTCTATATGGATGGTCGTACGACTCTGCACGGGGCGACGGTCTGAATGATCGCGGTTGATGTGAGTGCCCGAAAAGAATACTGCGCGTATAAACGCGGCACTCCAAAGTAGCGACGGGAAAAGCAGAGCAAGAGTATAGTCGGAAATCGGCAAAAAATCGGTGGATCGGAATCTCGATCGCTTGAACCATTCGGAGGCAGTGTTCGGAACGTCGGGAAACGGGGCAGGGAAAAAGGTACCTGTACCGTTAACGTGGCCATCATAGCCGGCGCTATAGAACTTTGCAATAAAAGCGCACACCAGCCCACCCGAGTAGCGGCCGGCAAGAAAAAAAAACCGGTGACTTTTAGGGGGTTCTAACTGGGCTTAAGGAGGAAAGTGGGCGGCGTACAGGAAAGCAGTCAACCTATATCGAAAATTTGATATCTTTATTGCCTGGTCCTTTTCCGCCTGGTCCGTACGTTGTGAACGATATGATGATGTGTTCTAAAAAAAAACACGAGAAGAACAGAGCGTGCCGGTGAGAAGAGACTTAGCCGTTGCATGCCGGTACGGTCAACGCTGCCAGCGTCTGTTGCTAACGGGAAGCGAGGAAGCAGCCACCCGAAGTACTTAGCTAGCCTTGAGCGATAATGGCTGAGTTCGTTTGTGAAATGAAGACTGTGTTATGATTTCACACTTCTAGCAAGAGTGCTTGTAAGTTCCGTGGATTTATCAAATTGGCACAACTATATAGGTATGAAAAATCGAAGCAATATATTTTCTCTCTTCTTTTGAGTTTTTTTTTGTATATATGCGCTTATTAAAAGTGTAAGTGTTCTTTTAGAACTGAAGTGTTTGTCAAGAAATATAATGAATTATTTAATATGACGCGCAGTAAATTGACTTAAATATTAACTGAAAAGCACTATGCAGTGCTGACAAGGTTGGGCCTCTTTTCAGGATCTTCATCGAATTTTGAGGTGAATTAAGGATCGCATCAAAATATCTACCTGGTATTACATTTTTAGCAAGAATTATTCAGCGTGTCAATCGACAATCTTTCCAAGGATGAGATAAAGGTTCAGAATAACAATGATTTATTGTACAGTGATACACGCATTCGTACCGATGGCGATAGACTTTTCAGAATAAATTACACCTGCGCAAACTGTCAGATGCCAAGCTTTGTTGCGAAGCCTCGACGCAGACAAGCTTTCGAATCGCACCCATGAAACTCTTTCCGTACCTGACGTAATGAATATGGAGACTTATATGCAACGCCTGGTTGAAATTCTTTAGTCTACAGTACAGATCCTTTGCTTTCCTAAAAAATAGTTCAATTAATCCTACTCAGATAACTAAGATGGCTTGGAAGCTAATGGCTAAGATGCAGACAGAATTCTATCCTCTGAGCTTCCGTTTTCAGAACGATCGGCAAAGGCAACAATACCGTGAACGACTGAAGACCCGTCATTGACCGTCGATGCAGAACGTCAGCCATATAAGTGGCTAATGCACCGCGACAGCTTGGCGCTTTGCCCGATTAGCTCTTCAGCTCTCATAAATCACTTCTCGGAAATGTCTGCGTTAGGGGATACGCTACCAACAAGACTTAACAGTGCGGAAACTTATACGAGGTCTTGGGAGCCTACGCAAGAAGGTTGCCATTCCATATAGGGACTGCAACGAGCATCGCAAATGCGCTGTCGCTCTGGCACCGTGTTGAACGGCACTATTCAATGAATGTTTGCATACTGAATTACTTCCAACCTAGTAGAGAGATGCTACTTTGCTAATGATCCCAAAAGAACAGAGCGACTCAACCGCACCATCATCATGGCGAGGAATAGTGAAGAAAAGCGTTTGTTACAAGTTGCTCTCCGACTTGTACTAATAAGATTACGGACTAAGAGATTAAATAGCTACTTAAAAAAACGCACATACCACCCCAGTGGAGAAACTTGGCTCCTGGACAGAACGCTCCACAGAAACAGAATACAGGATTCTTAAAGTCAACGTCAAAAAAGCACTGACCATGCCCCGTAATCCACTACATGCGGCGTTCGTCGATTTCAAAGCAGTTCTCGATGTGACGTCCAGAGACAAGGTTATGCTTACGTTGACCGAGCTAGGTGTCCCTGTGAATGCGCTTGCCTTTGTCGCTGTGATTCTACAGGAAAACAGAAGGACCATCGACGACAGATTTCCGTGGAGAAACAATCTAAATTCACCTTTATTTTCTATCTTGCTGAAGGGCCTCTCTGATCAAATAAGAGTACTAAGAAAGCTACTCGAAGTTACCTTGTATGCAGACGACTTAGTGATATACGGGACGAACAGATTCTAAATAGCAGCAGGCTCTAGCCCGGCCCCAGGCAGCAGTTATCTATTTCAGACCGACGGTAGACGTGACCAAGACAGAGGCGACGATGTGTAGAAAGTAACATAGAACAGCAGCCATTAGCACCTTGTAGTTCTTCAAATCGCCTCTTACTGACGCTTACCCGTTTCTATGCTTAGATTTGTTTTTCTTTGCAAACGGCAAAAATTTCATCGCGCACGTCACCAAAAGATGCAGAAAGTCGGCCGTATGGGCAATTAAATTGTCTTATCGCTAATTTTTTGCAGCCGCTTCTAGCTTATTCGATCTCAAGGCAGCTCTGATCGCAACGCGCAGAAAACGCATAATTTAAAGAAATCTTTTAGTAGAAAAGCTTAAACAATTAAATCATATCGTACCCTCTTTCCTCAGGAGAGCACTGGGACTACACAAAACGATCTGAAATCTTCTCACGTATCTCCTAGCCGACTCGCCACTGCTGTCTTGGGGATTATGTCGTCTATTTGAGCTCCCAGCAACGGAAGCCTTTATAACAATCTTAGGAAATGAAAGCAAGAACTTGCAGGGATCGATAGAAATTTGTTTGCTTCTTTGCTTCGGGTGCGAAAAATGAAAAATCGAACCAATGGGCTAAACTGATATGTCACCACCCGCTTTGTTGTGTATAGCCTCCACCATAGATTCCGCAAGGAACTGGGTTTCCACGAGCTGAAGGATACATGGGGGTAAGTGTGATAGACATTATGCCGATCGTCTTTCCCTGGTATTACCTTTAGGACAGCCGGAAAATTTCTCGAATTAGCTTCATAAATTATTTAATTATAAAAGACTCGCATAATATGGATTATTTTAGTGTTTTAGTACAAAGTGTTTTAGTGTTTCTATAATCTCACTCTTATATTGAGTTGTTGTTTTGCTGATCTGCATCTATGTAGTTTAACTATTACCAGCAGAAGAAGATGGATGATAATTTCGATCTTCAATCGACAGTTTTAACAAACAGCTTCGCTATGTTGATTTCCATCTTTCAAAAAATGTATGATTAACAAAGCCCGGATGCTCTTCGCTAAATCCGTGTACCGTAGTCTTCTCGATCACTGTTAAACAAAATCGAAATAGAGTGGCATCTATTAGTTGGATGCATAAAGAGCACAGCGATACTATTAAACCCAGCTTTGTAAACATTTAGAAAAGCATATGGAGCTTACATCATTTTAATGTTTGCCTGCCGCTTGGCAACTGAAGGTATCCCTAATCGTGAAGGTTTTGTGAGGTCTTCGTCTTTTTGATCTCACCACTTAAGCCCTACTTTGTTGTCTGAAATCAAAACAGAGTTAAAAAAAAAAAATAAGAAAATCTAGCTTCGAATCTATCGAAATTTGGGTGCAAACAGTTAAATGCAAATTGCCGCCTTTTTTAGGACAAAATACAAAATGCCCCAGAAGATCACGAATTTTTATCATTAGAAAATTCGCAAGAAAAATATTATAGCATACCCATCTAGAAACGTGATCTTTTTCGAGCCGGATATTTTTTATATACTATCTCGACTGTGTTTCGGTGAGCTGCGCATTTATTTAAACCTTATCTTCAATTCTGGTTTTCTCTAGCTTGATCTCCACTGTATATTGCGTCATTTTATCACTGTAATCGCTCAATTCTACCGCTCTTTTCGTCACGCTTTTTATACATACGCATTTGGCCCGGTTCTGCTTTTCTGTGTCTACCATTGTTGTATTGAACGTGTATTACCTTAAGTCTCGATTTTTCTGAGCGAGCTGAAGTACTGGAGAACTTCGTTTTTCTTTTTCGCGCCAGTTGGCCGTCATCCACCCGGAAACAAAGGTAATGGCAACCAACAATCGCACCTTTCACATCGCACACGGTAGCTTCGCCGAATTGCACATACGGAAAGCCTCGTACCCGACCCTGGCGTCAAAGTCAAAGCTACACCTCATCACACACACAGACGAGCCCATACGCTCACCCATCGCTTGGAAAAAGATCGATAAAATAGCGATCAAAATCGCTTTTTTCTTCGGCTTTTGCTGCCTTCTGTAGACTTCGGTGTTCTAGAAGTTCGGTCGTCAACGCCAGCGACGGTAAGCGCAGTGTGTAAACCTAACATCTCGAAATATTAAGCGGCTTTAGGGAACGGTAGTCGAACAGCCTGGCGCCAACGTTTTGGGTAAGGCACATTTGGCTTCCAGGAACGCTTCACTTTGCAGTGAACCGCTCACAAACAGAGAACGTCGACGATTCGATGTGCTACAATGAAACAATGTTGGCCGCGCGACTCGCCGAAGCTGTACGAACATCTTCATGGTTCTCCACGCCATTACGTTGCCCTTGGCAGGATAGACAAGCAGGCATTATCGAAACCCTTCTTTCGTTGAAATCAGAACGGCCAACAGCTGTCGCAGCAACGACAGCTGCCACTACCAAGATTATGACCAGCACAATACACAGTTTAAAATCGATTTTAACAGCGTCTTCGTCATCGCTACATCATAATTCTTGCTTCATTGGATCCCACCTCTTGAAAACCCAGTCGCCGCAAACCACAACTGATATTGTTGCCGTGAGCATCATCGTGGTTACTCAGAAGTAACCTCAGATACTTTAGAAGGAAACAGAGAGAATCGACTGTGACAGGTGATTACCTCTTTTGGACGATATCGTTAAGCTATAAACATTTTATATTCACGTAGTTTTTTTTTTGGGCTGCGAACGCATGCCTATGACTTCGGTTATAACGTGTCTAAAAGTTAGGCAAGCAAATATACTAATTTCTGGCTGACAGACTATAATATTATACTTCTATGACACTAAGCAGTAACATAGATACCATTTCACAGACTCTAATTAAACATATGAAATTATAGAAAAGACATTTCATTTGTCTAAAATAGAGATGTATAAGTAGGGAAGTCATAGGAAATACTAAATGAAAAAAAAAAAAAAAAAAACTGTGCATTGATGGCCACAAAGCTTTACTTGTTAGTGTTGTTCAGTCTCGAGCTCCAGGAAGCTAGCGTTCTTTCGCCGATGCAAAAGCGATTTTTCAACGCGACGCCCACTTTTTTGTATGCACCTCACAGCTTGTTAAATGTTCGCTAACTTTTGCGGTCAGTGTTCGCCTATTTCGTTTGCGTCTATTCTCTGCCCTCTTTGACAGACACCTTTCTCTAGACAAGCTCGTCATTCAAGCTCGATTTGACAACAGTATTCCCTATTCATGCGCTGAGAATCCCGAAAATGATGATCGCTCAATGGAATATGCTTGGGGCAAATACACGGCGAGGATTGATTGGATGCAAACTGTGGTTTCGCTAACTCGCGATCAGGTAGTTGAAACACAGCTGTGCTACGAGACTCACTGCTTGCTCTGCGTACAATGCAACTATAGCGCCTCGCAAACGCGGCGCAATAGCACAACAAACAACGTGCGGCGCTTTCAATGACGATGCATGTAACGGGTATAGCGGAAAGAATACAAGTGGAGAAAGTATTACACGCTTTTTGGCCACCGAACGGCCTCCTCCCCAGACAATGTAGAAGGGACCGACGAACGCGAACGTGATCCGTTAGAAGAAGAAGAAGAAGAAGAGACGAAATAGCATTTGGTAAACAGGGCTTTGGTGGGACTCACTGAACTTAAAATGCGCGCCCAAATGGCCTTCTTTTTAGCAGGTAGGTTTGATTCGGTACTTAGTAAGTGAACGGATGATGTTGATGGTCCTAGTGTTGACTAAAAGCTGCGTGAGTGTCTGCCGAATGATTGATTATTTGCGAAGGCAGCGACAGTCAGTGAATGTGTTTCCATAACACGAACCTAAAGTGTTTGCCAATTGACCGGTCTCTGGGAAGTAGGTGCTTCCTTGTTTGCGCGGAAGTCCGCAGACGCTGTTGAGATCTACCTTGTGTGGGCACTAGGAAGCACGAAGGCGTATGAACAACAATATAGGAAATAGCTCTAGAGGCTACAGGAGATAATCATGGAAGGAAGTGCACAAAAATGCTGTGTTCACTAGAAATGGATACGATAGCCCCTTTTCAATAGCCCATCTTATAGAGTAGGATAGGTATAACAAGTGGTACAACGGGTCTATTGTGGGCCCATAAATGGCACTGACGGTACCTACATCCCTGAGAAAACGAGGATCATAGCCCCAGCAATTCGTAACGCTTTGCGGCCTAGCAGCGAAAAAAATTGAATTTTTCTCCGTTAATACAGCGGCCCTTTAGAAAGGTTAGAAAAAATCGAAATATTGTTAAGCATTATAACGTCAAACCAGCGTCCAGAGGATTTTTGAAACTATCACAACGCATAAAGAAAAAGAAATCAAAATCCAAACCATAGAACGCGGTAGTCGAGACAGCCGTACAGGACTCAACGAAGAATGACAAGGTGGCTTCTCCTCAAGGTGCTTTTCTTCTGCAGGATGTTCAGGACATGTCCATGTATGAACAGAGTTTATTCGAAAGGCTTGGGTACAATATCGGGTTGCTTTCGTAGCTCCTTTTGACGTGACGGCAGTCTACTATTAAGTGAGAACGATACTATTACAACGGAAAACTGTTTGGCAAGACATTTGCTTGTATTCGTACATTGTTTTCGGCTGGGAGAACCCTCGATCATCTCGCAACGTCGGCTTAAAAAGAGTTAAATAATTATTTCCGGGATGCAGGTTTAATAAAACTAGAAAAGGGATTTTGGAATGTAAAAAAAAAGCTATGCATTACATAGAAGACTAATATTCGAACTAGATGGAACAAATATGTAGTGACTACTGCAATTTTATGAAATTTGCAAAGGTACATAGTTGCTTCGACCACAGATGTATATTGCGTCAGAATAAAGGAAACAATTTAAAAAACGCGTCCCTTTGGGCATAATAGTGTATCGTCCATTTAACTACACGGCTGTAATATCTCACAGCATCTATAAATGTCCGTTCTTCATTTTATACAGTTACATTGATAATATCCTAATACGTAGAGGAGTATCTACGTAAGGTTTATTCGGTTGTCTATTATGAAGGCAGTTGGCCATAGGAAGCACTCCTCGAACACATAATCCGTTTTTGAGGTTCGGCCGCGTCCCATCAATCCGATGGTCAGTTGCGCTCGAGACTGAAGAAAGGTTTCATCAAAAAGTAGAGGGAGAGACTTCACGAAAACTCCGCTTCAGGGCGAGCACAATCGACAAGCGCTCATTACCGATACGGCTAAGTGAGCCAGGTCTTCACTTCAGTCCCGACAAGAGCTGTGCATAAAGTAGTGTATTCGTCGTGTATTCCAGACGATACCAACGTTTTCTCTTTTATTGCCTTTCGTCGTTCTGTGACGTCGGCTGCTACCGTTCCGCGTTCTCTTTCTGAAATTTCTATCGCCACACCCCGTTGAGGGCGTCATGTAGAATTGCATAGTGAGACAATGGAGATTAGTTTTCATCAAATGCTTCATTGCTTTATCCTAAAGGCAAACGCCAATAACATCGCATATAGACGACCTATTGAATTCTGGGACAGTTGTACGAATAGCAGAGGTTAGCGGGAAGAGAGAAGCGTCACAGCCGAAAATGTTGCAACTGTAGAATGAAAAAATCTTAGAGTAGTTGGATAAACGGTTCCATTTGAACGCTGAATAGAACTAAATTTTGTTTACCATTCACCACAGCTACAGCAGTGGGATGTGAACCAAAGAACAAGGCTTTTTTTTTCTTTTCAAAACAAAACAATTTCATAATGATACAAACTAAATAACTGAAGCCTATAGATCGTCCTGTTTATACATAGACAGCGTCTGGTGCTTCCGCTATTTACAGTGATTGAAGTACGTCATATGGATGAGTTCTGCTTGAATATAAACGAAGTGTATGTAATATCGGACTGAATAGTCTTCAATAATCGATTCTTACTAGTTCAAGCCTTTACAATGGAATCGAATAATTGCACTCGTGCACAAGAGTTAAATCAATGAGCTTACGACAGGAAGAAATATAGTGTGCGGCGTCCTATGAAACACAAAACGGTAGAAGAGGAGATTGCATCAAAAGGTATCTGGAAGATAGGGCAAAGTCGGGCAGTGACGAACAACTAGGAATGGCATTAGGATTTGCTTATCTCTAGATTAAGCCAAAGGCCAAAGACTTTTCCAGCGGCGAAGCAACTGAGCGTTCCGCAACAATAGGAGCGTTGTAAAACTACGAAGCGCAGAAAGTAGGCCCTGTAGCGACAACAAACGACGCGATACGTCAAAGTCAACAATAACTCCTTTCGACTTCGAGCTTGTTCCCTGTAAGGGTGTCCAGGCGTACAGACCGTTAGTAACGAACGGCCGTTATCTAAATAGAGTGGCGTGTTTTTTTTTTACTACGAGTAGTGGCCGGCGTTCACTTTATTGTCGTCGGCGCTGTTGTTGTTAGAGTCCTATTATTGATGTCGTTTGATAGAAAGTCTAAGTTAGTATTATTGACGGGCCGTGGTAGTTGAACTGTTTAACAATCAGGTTGATTGTAAGTAATGATGTAGTGGATGGCGACAAAATTGACGCCAACACGCAGTCTGCTCCCGCTACACGAAAACTGAGAATCGCCACCTTCCGGGCCCGATCAAATGGGAGAGAAGTAGTTTCCAATCGACTTGGCTTTCTGTACGGCCTGTCAAGTCTAACGGTAACCGCCTAGCAGTCGACAAGCAGGCGTACCGCTACCCGGTCACTTTGATATATGCAGAATCTTTTTCATGCTTACTTTTGTTCACGTACTTCTCCTCGCCGTTTGCCAGCTAACGCGCTGATTTCTCTACTCCGGTGATGGTCACAGGTTCCGTTAAGTTGCCGTCGTCGTTATCCCTATTTCAAATCTCACCG